GGCTCAAGCGAGTCTCCTGCCTCCACCTCCCAAGTAGCTGGGAATACAGGCGCCCCCACAATGCCTGGCTATTTTTTGGTTGCAGCCATCATTGTTGTTTGGCGGGCCCGGGCTGGATTCAAACCTGCCAGCTCAGGTGTATGTGGCTGGCGCCTTAGCATCTTGAGCCACAAGTGCTGACCCTATGTTCTGCATTTTTAGGTTGGAAAAAAACTAAGTATATGCAACTGTGTTTTTAAGTTACATATTTGATTCAATAGATAATACACTCATATAATTTAAAGCTCTAAAATCAAGTAGATATGAACAAATACAAAGTAGACAAAGTATGTATACCCAAACCCCAAAATTTCCAGAGTAATATAAAAACAAAACAAATAAAAAGTATGTATACTTTTCCTTCAAATTGGCTTCTAATACCCAAACTCCAAAACTTCCAGAGTAATATAAAAACGAAAACAAACAAAAAAAGACACTGAAAAATAACTGTGTGATATTGACGTCTACCTACTTAATTTGTGCTGCCTTAAGGCTGCCACATCTGTGTCTTCTCTAGTATTTTTTCATTGATGCTACTGAGAAAAGTAAGAGCTAAAAGAAAAAAGCATAAGAACCAGTCATCATGGGAAGTGTGGAGTGTATGTCACCTTCTTCTGACTACTAAGGCTATGTTGTCCCTAAAAAATTAGAAGGGAAGACTCTCCAAGTGGCAAAAAACAGCTCTGGAAAAACTAAGACAACAGGGTAAAAACCGAGGCAAGTGAAGAGAGGCTGCCAAGGGAAAACTGGTTTGTACTGAAAATCAAGCAGGTAGAAATCTGAAGACACATCACTTGTCTTCTCACAGTGGTCTACTGCCACTAAGACACCCTTTCAGAAATAGTGCCTTGAGAGGTTGGCAATGTTTCAACAGCCCCAGTGAAGTGCAAAAATCAAAAATATTAAGTTCTCCTAAAAAACTACAGGTGGAATTCTAAAGGAAAGTGAAAAAAAAACCAGTATTTCTACCTCAAGGAAACTATCAGTTCTCCAATGCAAGGAGTTTATAGGTTGAGTTTACAGATCTACAGATTATATAAAAAAAATGTTATGGGCAATACAATTAGTTATTAAAAATCAGACTAACAAATTTAAAATGAGATTCATCTTTAAGAAATTAAAGATGAAATCCTACCTTGCCACTAACTGTAATTTATCCTTGGTACAAAGCTAGTTTCTCCACAGAATTCATGGTTAGTTCTAGCTATGCTGTATTCACTGAACACTGCTTCTCATGCTGGGGCTTTTTTTTTTCTTCTTTATGAGACAGGGTTTTGCTCTGTCACCCAGGCTAGAAGACAGTGCCTCAATCACAGCTCCCTGTAGCCTCAAACTCCTGGGCTCAATGATCCTCCTGGCTCAGCCTTCTAGGTAGGTGGACTATAGGCAAGAGCCAGGGTGCTTGGTCCTACTGTTGTTTTTTTTTTTTTTTTATTGAGACAGAGCCTCAAGCTGTCGCCCTGGGCAGAGTGCTGTGGCATTACAGCTCACAGCAACCTCCAACTCCTGGGCTCAAGCGAGTCTCCTGCCTCAGCCTCCCAAGTAGCTGGGACCACAGGCGCCCGCCACAACGCCCGGCTGTTTTTTGGTTGCAGCCATCATTGTTGTTTGGCGGGTCCGGGCTGGGGATTTGAACCCGCCACCTTAGGTGTACGTGGCTGGCGCCTTAGCCGGTTGAGCTATAGGCGCCGAGCCCCTACTGTTGTTCACATACAACTTTCATAGAAGAAAATTTTTATATTCAAACTACCAAGCACTGGACGATGTCTAAATTCCAAGAGATTTAATCAAAGATTTCATTTCAGTTGGACACGGAGGTGGTTAGAAATTTATGTCTTTCCCCTACCTCATTTCTGTCTTGTGATGCTTAAATTTTATGATGCCAACATCACAGTGAAATTTTAGTATCTTTACCTTATGCAATGTTACAATTCCTAAGTGTTTATCATGAGGGAAAAAACAAAACAAAACAAAAGCCATATCTAGCCCGTTCTTAATGAATATGACATTATACTTACTTTGGGATAATCCAATTCAAAGAATGTTTCCAAGTTGTTAATTAAATTAGGATCTACCCCTTTGAGGGGCTTCAGAAGAGACACACCCGGGAGCTTGCTATATGGCTGCTTGTCAGTTGCCTTCTTGTTGAGGTGTAATCGGCTAAAAAGCAAATGATACATAAATTATTTCTAGAGTCTTACATTAGTGTCAAATCAAATAAAAGCATTACCAAGCTATCAATGAATTACCAAATTCTAAGGTAAGGTTTTTAATATTGACATTTTTCTAAAAGGAGATTTGAAGATGAAGGGAAGTAGAATCCACTAAACTTCTAGTCTAAAAAAAAAAAAAAAACCAGAACTAGTCAGAATGAATCTTCTAAAAGCCAGAATTTAGACACACTCTATTTACTGCTGTATTCTCAAAACTATAAGAGGCATAGAGAAGGCATTCAATATAACATATGGCGAAGAAATAAATGGGCTGGGTGAGGTGGCTCGCACCTGAAATCCTAGCACTCTGGGAGATGGAGGTGAGAGGATACCTTGACTTCAAAAGTTCAAGACCAGCTTGAGCAAGAATGAGACCCCCCCACCTACCAAAAATAGGATAATTAGCCAGGTGTGGTAGGTGCCTGTTGTCCCAGCTACTTGGGAGGCTGAGGCAGAAAGATGATTTGAGCCCAGGAGTTTGAGGTTGCTGTGAGCTAGGCTGAGGTCACAGTACTCTAACCTGGACAACAGAGTAAGGCATTATCTCAATTAAAAAAAAAAAATGAACGACAGCGTTAGACCACACATTAACTGCCCTTGCCCTTAAAATGCCAAAGTGACTAAAGAACTATAAAAACATATAAAATAAAATCCCCATCTGTACCAGAAAAATAAGGAAGGGTAACTAGAGATTTGTATACCAGTCAGATAATACACAATAAAGAAGTGCCAGGCAGCCTACATGGGAAGCAAGGAAAGGGGATAACGGGACTCCCAATAGTAACAGGCTCAGAATGGCAGAGACAGAACAGAGGGAGGCTGAGAGTAAAACAATCTCAATGCTGAGAAAGACGTCTAATGATGCTGAAAGAGCTATCAGTGGCACTGATTCACAGATAAGGTGGCCAAGGCTTCGGTGCCAGTCCATCCGAGGATGTGGCAACACAGGTCTCCTAACCAGAGAAGCCGCACCACTGAGAGAACAGAGATTGTACCCCAGTTAACATCAGGCTGTTGCAACAAAAAGAGATGCCATTTTGCACAGTGGTTAAGTTTTCTAGAGGAAGTCGCAGAAGACTTCCTTTCTATTTCTCAAAAGTACGTCACAAGTACTCCTCATAAGCAAGTCTCCAAGCATTCAACAGTAATTAGACACCAGAACACTCACTGAACTGTCTACAAGATATTCTGAAACACATGTTCTTCCACATTTTAATATCTCTGACATCAGTGGCATCTTACAACTGCTGCCAGCCAGATGGCAATCCTGACTCAGTATGGTGAGAACCAACGGAGATCTACAAGATCAAAGAACACTAGTTATCAATGCATTTTAGATTCAACAAGATCCACCCTTAGCCTAAGAATGACTTTTGAAAGCAGAGCAGTCCTACCATCCAGAACAGGGGGCCATAGGTTTGTTTCTAGGGAATTAAGCCAGCGGTATGCTGCAGCAAACCCATGTTTCAGAAAAGGCCATATAAACATTTTAGAGAAAGAAAACAGGTTACCTACATACAAAAGTCTTAAAGCAACAAGAAATTTAAAGAATAAGGTGGTATCAATTTCTGATCCATAACACCAAATGGCAGCAAATAATGGAACACCACCTATGGCAGTGCTACTCAGAGTGCAGGCTGGTCCACTAGTGTCTCTTTACTGATCTACGAATAAGAAGAAATTAACAGAAAGCTTAAAAAAAAAAAACTGGTAGCAATGTGACATTGCCATGTCACATTGCCAATGTGACATGCAAACATGTGACCAGCAATTTATACAACACTGTAGTTTACTAAAATATCAGCCCATGGCAGACAGGAAAACTTAAAAAAAAAAAAAACAAAAAAACTAAACCTTTGCCCTCAGATAGTGTGAAAAATAAGTGCTTTACAGAGTTCATCTAGAGGGCTAAACAGAGGCAAAACCACGATCTAACATTTATATAATCACAAAAATGATTACTGTTCCATTTCTAAACCCACCTGGCACAAAACATCTAGATTGCTGATGGGGAAAAGAAGTTTACATCACATTTAACTGATTGAACCAGCAACATAAGATACGGTTCAAATCGCTAAAAATATTAAGAGGTTCCCATAACAGAAGTCTCCCTGTCACCTCTGTCTTCACCTGCCCTGTTTCTATCACTGCCTGCTCAGCATGACTAGTTTCTTATTTTTCCTTCCAGAGGTTTTTAAAGAATACATATATATCACATGTGTGTATATTCATATATCATAATACGTAATCTTCTCCTTGCCTTTTTAATACAAGTGTATTAAAAGCATGTTTTTAACTACATGAGTGAGCTGTTGAGAGAAGAAGTATCTCTAAGGTCAGAAATAAGGAGACATCTCTTAGTGCTGGAGTTGATGCTTGCCTCCTGGTCACCTTTGTGGAGATGGAGACAAGCCTGAGATAAGAATGAGAGGACATTTGTCCTGTGAGCCTTGTGTAAGTATAACATTTTCAGAGAAAGAAAACAGGTTACCTACATTAAAAAGTCTTCAAGCAACAAGAGATTCAAAGAATAAGGTGGCCACTCCACCCAGACTCCCTGCATGTCCAAGTAGAAAATTCCTGGCCAGCTGAGGGAAGATGGGGATGCTCCCTATCTTGGATTCAGTCCTGAGTGAAGAAGAATAAAATCTGCATTTGACCCCAGAATGCAAACTACCTGTGTTGCCTGAAAAACACCCAAGAGAAGGAATGAGTGAAACCATCCTACATAACCACAAGTACATGAAAAGAACCACACAATGTCTAGAAATGAAAATTATGATCATTGACATTCGAGACCCAACACACAGGGAAAATGGGAGCCTGCATACACACACTGAAGAGAGAAGTGGAAGTGAAATTAGAAAACTAATCACCCAGACAGCAGCGGAGAGCGAGGGAGAAGCAAAAGGGTAGAAATCATGAGTTTGAGATGTGGATGACAGAATAAAAAGGTCTAAAATCCCAGCATTAGGGCTCAGCACCCCTAGCTGAGTGGTTAGGGCACCAGCCACATACACCAGGGTTGGCAGGTTTGAACCCAGCTGGAGCCTGCTAATTAACAAGGACAACAAAAATAACAAAAATAGCTGGGCGTTGCAGCAGCACCTGGAGTCCCAGCGGCTGAGGCAAGAGAATTGCTCAATAAGTAAATAAACAAACAAAATCCCAGCAATGTTTAGATATTGATCCCACTGTATTAAACTGTATTGAAACACACATGGGACATGCCAGCTAATTAACAGAGAAACCCAATCCACTAATAATTTCACTGTCAGCCAGGCCTTGTGGCAGATGCCTGTAGTCCCAGCTACTTAGGAGGCTGAGGCAAGAGGATCACTTGAGTCCAAGAGTCTGAGTTTGCTGTGGACTACTATGTTATAGCACTCTAGCCATGGTGACAGAGTGAGACCATGCTTAAGAAAAAAAAAAAAACCATGTCATTGCATGTGGCAAGACTTTAGAGTAAAAACAATAGCAATAAGAATAATCTAAAGTGTACTTAATAGTGGCTTTTACATTTTGGGAAGAATTTAGAGAAGGTACTATTTTCCCTTCTTCATCTTCATAAGAAATTTTCAGGCGGCGCCTGTGGCTCAGTGAGTAGGGCACTGGCCCCATATGCCGAAGGTGGAGGGTTCAAACCCAGCCCTGGCCAAAAACTGCAAAAAAAAAAAAAAAAAAAAAATAGCCGGGCATTGTGGTGGGCGCCTGTAGGGCCCAGTTACTTGGGAGGCTGAGGCAAGAGAATCACCTAAGCTCAGGAGTTGGAGGTTGCTGTGAGTTGTGACGCCACAGCACTCTACCAAGTGCGATAAAGTGAGACTCCATCTCTACAAAAAAAAAAAAAAGAAATTTTACTTTAAGGTCGGTGCCCATAGCTCAGTGGTTAGGGCACCAGCCACATACACTGGGGCTGGTAGGTTCAAACCTGGCCCAGACCAGCTAAACAATGACAACTACAACCAAAAAATAGCCAGGCATTGTGGGTGGCGCCTTAGGAGGCTGAGGCAAGAGAATGGCTTAAGCCCAAGAGTTTGAGGTTGCTGTGAGCTATATGATACCACAGCACTATACCAAGGACGACATAGTGAGACACTGTCTCAAAAAAAAAAAAAAAAGAAAAGAAAGGAAATTTTCCTTATATCTGGGCCTGGTGGCTCACACCTGTAATCCTAGAACTCTGGAAAGCCAAGGTGGGAGAACTGCTTAAACTCAAGATACCAGCATGCATGAAAGCCAATCCTGACTCCACAAAAAAATACAAAAATTAGCTGGCTATGGTGGTGTGCACCTGAGTCCCAGCCTCTAGGGAGGCTGAGCCAGCATTATGACTTGAGCCCAGGAGATTGAAGTTGCGGTGAGCTATGAAGGCGCCACTGCATTCTACCAAGGGTGGCAGAATGAGAGACTGTCTCAACAACAAATAAAAAAAAGGCATCTTACTTCCAAGACTAATATAGACATGCCTCCTATCTTTTCAAGAGCTTTTCTGTCTATTAAGAATACGATATCTTGTCATAGACTCACTCTGACTCCCCAAACCTGTCCCTATTGTGTATAGCCAGACCACACACAAGCCCTTTAAAAAAAACTATTATTTGTACCTCTCCTCTGTCTCTGTTGTTTTCTAATATTTTCTTTCCATACCCCAAGGGGTCAGCTTGCAGTGTACCCCTAGGAGACAAATGCTGTTTGAGAGAATACGGTCTTGACTTATATAACACAACTGACAAAGCACTCCAAGTACAAAGTACTTGAACTGTTTATCACAATTATAAAAGAATATCCACCAAGTCCCTGAAAACACACCCACACTATGCTCCGCGCACACTGGTGCTCCATGATTACTTCACAGTCACTTGTAACAACATCTTTCGAGCCCCAAATGTACGTTAAACATCATCCTATGAACTGGAGATGTAACAACAAACAAGAGAATTCCCT